AAATATCAGACAGAACAGCTCGCAGGATTGTGAGAAAAACAATTCAAAACCCACGTTTGACTGCACGATCCCGCCAGAAAGATCTGGCAGACGCTGGAGTTGTGGTACACTATTCCACTATAAAGAGATACTTGTACAAATATGGTCTTCATGGAAGAGTCATCAGAAGAAAACCTCTTCTACGTCCTCACCACAAAAATCATCGTTTGAACTTTGCAAATGAACATATAGACAAGCCTGATGCATTTTGGAAACAAGTTCTGTGGACCGATGAGGTTAAAATTGAACTTTTTGGCCGGAATGAGCAAAGGTACGTTTGGAGAAGAAGGGGCACAGAATTTAATGAAAAGAACCTCTGTCCAACTGTTAAGCATGGGGTTGGATCAATCATGCTTTGGGGTTGTGTTGCAGCCAGTGGCACAGGGAACATCTCACGAGTAGAAGGAAAAATGGATTCAATAAAATGTCAGCAAATTTTGGATGGTAACTTGATGCCATCTGTGAAAAAGCTGAAGTTAAAGAGAGGATGGCTTCTACAAATGGATAATGATCCTAAACACACCTCGAAATCCACGGGTGATTACATCAAGAGGCATAAACTGAAGGTTTTGCCATGGCCTTCACAATCTCCTGACCTCAACATAATTGAAAATCTATGGCTAGACCTTAAAAGAGCAGTGCGTGACAGACAGCCCAGAAATCTCAAAGAACTGGAAGACTTTTGTAAGGAAGAATGGGCAAAGATACCTCAAACAAGAATTGAAAGACTCTTGGCTGGCTACAAAAAGCGTTTACAAGCTGTGATACTTGTCAAAGGGGGCAGTACAAGATATTAACTCTGCAGTGTGCCCAAACTTTTGCAGATGCCATTTTTTTGTTTTCTGTTATTTTGAAAGTGTAAATGATGGAAATAAAATCTAACTTTTGTTGACATATTATAGGAATGTCTACTCTGTAATTTGATGCCTTTTGGAGATTTTTCCATCTTTCCTTGGTTTCTTTATGCACATTAATACAAATTTTTAGCTGGGGTGCCCAAACTTTCGATCCCCACTGTATATATATATAATCAAGGTCCTGAACAAAAGGGTCCCGTTCTCCCAAATTGGTTCCTGATGCTAAAAAGGGAGAATTCTTCAACTTATCTCTCTCAGGCCTGACAGCCTATTTTCTAGTCCACCAGCAGGGTGTCTCCTTAAAGCAGAGAACCAATCACCTCATTTGGGGAAGGTGTTTAGGCGGGAAACTCTGCTATGACCAAATCCCTCACACGTTTATACCATGGTCAATAATCTTCCATAAGTACATGAAGCATCCTATCCACTGCTAGGATAATATGCAGACTCATCTGCTGAACGTCTAGATATCAGATATGACATATCTACCTGTGACGGTTAAAGAGATATCGCTTTCTGCTCTCGGGTAGACTTAATCTAGGGGTGTAAGATATCAGGCGACTCGTATTAAACTGAGCTATCCGAATATATGCTTTGTTCGTTTGTATGTATTCCCTATTTTAAGTTATGAAAAGTGGTTTTTAAACGGGATGTATGTTTTACGGCTATTCTGGAATGTGTTTCATGTCCAGTGAAGGACTGGTTTACAGCTTTACGATCATCTCAGATCGAGAAGCTAACAGACACCCGGGCACCAGCTAATTTGGGATTACAACCATGAAGTATATCCAACTGTGCCTGATGTCCTTGTGAACCCAGCACACACAAACACCATATTCCTGAGGGAGGGAGAGAGAATGATACAAGATGTGGAATCTTGAGCAAGATGGATGACCGCGTCCATATCTGTGTGCACAATTGGTGCATGGAGGACTACAAGTAAAATATTCACTTGCTTGCTGTTCTGTAGGACTAAATTTAACAGCTTGACTGCTGGCCTATGGAAAAATGAGTAACAAATTAGCAGCAGCTCTTTTGCTAATCTGTAATAAAGGTGGAGGACATGATCATGTCTGCAGCACCTGGCAAGTGCCAGTAAGTGATGCATTCCCATTATACATAGGTGTATCAATGCCTAGCACTAGACAGCTTTGTGCCCTACAGGAGCCGCTGTTGATCCCTACCAGCAGGGCACTGCAATGGGTGTGTCAGCCTATGATGTTACAGGCTTACTACAGAACTGCAAGCATGCTTGTTGCCCTGCTGTCAACTTGGATGTAGTGTGCATGTCTAACACCACCATGCGTCTGAACCTGCAGTTAGCAGGAAACCTCATAAGGCAGGGAATTGGTGAATCAGAAAGAAGACTGTTAGCATCTCCTGATATTTAGACTTTATTGGGGCTGCTCAAAAGAGAGAAAAGGATGATTTCTGAAGGTTAACATGCACTTGATGTTGATTTCAGTAAAGCTGTTGTTTAGGTTTACATACACTCTAAGCTGGGGAGCCCCGAGGGCTGAACTGGAATAAGCCACTGCATTGGCTGCTTAAAATAAATATATAAATAAATTAAATTGACCATAAAAGCAATTCTTTAAGGTCAGGAAATTACTTGAGGTTAGGGAGAAGGGGGTTTAACTTTGTTCATTCCCTGTGCCTTAATTAGGTAGCAATCAATGACTCTGATACATGAAAATAATTTATACAGTTATTCAGTTTTAATCACAACAACATAATGAAAAAGATTTCAGGAACATGTTAACCCCTTCTTGTTGCCAACTCCCAGCCCTATAAGTCGATCTAAATGCTAGGAGGTGGAGGCGGGCATTTGAATGTAAGGCTGTAATTGGCAGTCACATGATCTGAAAGCCCCCCCCCCCCCGATCACAAGTATGCATCAGGGGCTTTCCATTAACCATTTGTTACTGTGCTAGGAACATACTCTAAGCACAGTTAAGTGTTTAACATTAGACCCATATTTGCGGGCACTCAGTGTTAAAGCTCACCTGCCGAGACCAGGAAGTGGTTGGCTTTGGACAGACACAAGAATGTAGTTACATTGACCCTGATTTTACTTCACAAAGGAATTTTCACTTAGTCTAGTGAATGTGGGGAATTTGTCTTTAATCTTTCAATCATATGCCTGCAAAAAATCCTGTTTTTTTCCATTTTCCTTGCACATAACTGGATATTCTTTGGAAAGTAAATTTTCACCACATTCACTAAACTAAGAACAAATTCCCTTTCAGGGTAAATTTTCATTCTGCAACGTGAACATGCTAAATCAGTGCTAATATTATGTATGGCCTGTTGAAGGAAACACATTTTGTAACCCTCTACATAAGTTTATGAAAGCTGGGTTCTGTTCAGCCAAATCCATATAATTAATTTACAAGAGTGTTCCACCACTGTTTTTGTGCCTACAGTGGCTAAGTGGTTAGCACTTCCACCTGGCAGCACTAGGGTCGTTGGTTCGAATCCCAACCACGGCACTACCTGCACAGAGTTTGCATGTTCTCCCTGTGCATGCGTGGGTTTACCCTGGGTACTCGGGTTTCCTTCCACACTCCAAAGACATGCTGGTAGGTTAATTGGCTCCTGTCTAAATTGGCTCTAGCATGTGTATGTATGAATGTGAGTTAGGGACCTTAGATTGTACAATCCTTGAGGGTGAGGAACTGATGTGAATGTATATGTAAAGTATATGTAAAGTGTTGCATAAATTGATGGCGCTATATAACTACCTGAAATAAATAAAAAAAATAATAGATACAGGTATGACCTTAATAGTGGTGCCTGCACATGAACAGAGAGCTCCGGCACTGTGAAAGACGTGTGTTAATCAACTTAGGCAAAATCTGTAAAGCAAAATCCAGAGAGAATAAAAGAAATGTGCAACACTTATACATCTTATAAAAAAGATTTAAAAATGCATAATACGACTTAAAATGTCAAATAAGGTTTGAAAGATGTTTTGACCTAATATGACATATGATAACCTGTACTTGCATCGCACACAAAACATAGGCAAGAAACATATCAGCAAAATAAAACATATTGCAGCTATTTTCAATTAATGCCTGAAACATTCTCTGTGCTAGAAGTTTTACAATCTTTTTAATAGACTGACAATCATCTTCTACCCTTAAGTTACCACCATGACTAAGATGTCTTAAATCAACTGATAATTAGCACTGACAACTGGTATTTTTGCAGGTACACCTACTATGAATATAATATACATCCTATGCAGCTGATAACATAAACTACCGATTAACACTTACAAGCCATGGTTGAAATATCTGGATGTTTCTCTCCAGACTATATATTCAGAATCACACGTGAAACAATAGAAATAGTTATGCAATGACTGCATACATAAGCAGATGTGGTCAAAGTATGACTATGTGTACCATTTTGCCCTGAAATGTTGCAATAAAATAAGCTAATTTTCGCTCCATAAGACGCACCTGAGCATAAGATGTACCTAGGTTTTAGAGGAGGAAAACAAGAAAAAATTATTCTGAACCAATGGACTGCAGACATAGTACAGGAAATGACCAGAGACTGCAGACATAGTACAGGAGATAACCAGAGACTGCGGACATAGTACAGGAGATGACCAGAGACTGCGGACATAGTACAGGAGATAACCAGAGACTGCGGACATAGTACAGGAGATGACCAGAGACTGCGGACATAGTACAGGAGATGACCAGAGTCTGCAGACAGTACAGGAGATGACCAGGGACTGTGGACATAGTACAGGAGATGACCAGAGACTGCAGACATAGTACAGGAGATGCCCAGAGACTGCAGACAGTACAGGAGATGACCAGAGACTGCGGACATAGTACAGGAGATGACCAGAGACTGCGGACATAGTACAGGTGATGGCCAGAGACTGCGGACATAGTACAGGTGATGGCCAGAGACTGCGGACATAGTACAGGTGATGGCCAGAGACTGCGGACATAGTACAGGTGATGGCCAGAGACTGCGGACATAGTACAGGTGATGGCCAGAGACTGCGGACATAGTACAGGTGATGGCCAGAGACTGCGGACATAGTACAGGTGATGGCCAGAGACTGCGGACATAGTACAGGTGATGGCCAGAGACTGCGGACGTAGTACAGGTGATGGCCAGAGACTGCGGACATAGTACAGGTGATGGCCAGAGACTGCGGACATAGTACAGGAGATGACCAGAGACTACAGACATAGTACAGGAGATGACCAGAGACTGCAGACATAGTACAGGAGATGACCAGAGACTACAGACAGTACTGGAGATGACCAGAGACTGCAGACATAGTACAGGAGATGACCAGAGACTGCAGACATAGTACAGCAGATGACCAGAGACTGCAGACACAGTACAGGAGATGACTAGAGACTGCAGACAGTACAGGAGATGACCAGAGACGCGGACACAGTACAGAAGATGACCAGAGACTGTAGACAGTACAGGAGATGACCAGAGACTGCGGACATAGTACAGGAGATGACCAGAGACTACAGACACAGTACAGGTGATGACCAGAGACTGTAGGCAGTACAGGAGATGACAATAGACTGCAGTCAGTACATGGGATGACCAGAGACTGCAGATAGTACAGGTGATGACCAGAGACTGCAGACTGTACAGGGGATGACCAAGAGACTGTGGACCTTTGGGGAGGGAGGGGGAGCGGGCAACTGAATTTGACAGGTACCTGCTCCCACTTCTGCGGAGTTGTCCTCTCCCACTTCTGCGGATGCCCACATTAAAGGGAGGACAACACTGCGCAAGTGGGAGCGGGTGTCCACACTAAAGATGCTGGTGCCGGAAGACTGTACAGTGCTGGACCGAGGAAGAGGTAAGATTCTGCCCGGTATTCTGACAAGGCAGAGGCGGGAATACCGGACCGGCTGCTCCATATTCGCTCCATAAGAGGAGAGCAAAAAATACAGTAGTCACTAGTGCATAAGCTCAATCAACCAATGGTCTGCTGGCTACCAAGCATATGGAGAGAAGCCACTGAGTTTATGGCAATTGGGGGCACCATCAAAATTTTGCTGTGGTGTCCCATGATATGTAGTGTATATGGCGTGAGAGGTTTATCCATTTGTGGAGAAAATAAATAATTGATAAACTAACACTGCAAATTTCCATCAGGGTGGTGAATCTATGGGGGAGATTTACTCAAACTTGTGCACACAGAATGCGGTGCAGCTGTGCACACTAAATGCTCAGCTTCTAACTTCAGCTTGTTCAATTAAGCTTTGGCAATACAACCTGGAAGTTGATTGGTTTCTATGCGGAGTTGCACTAGATTATGCACTCTCAAACTTTAGTAAATAACCCCCATTTTGCCCTTTGCAAGCACTTGTTGGTTATACAAACAAAAAAAGAATGAGTTACATTACCTGCAAGTATATGGCATACCTATTACATTTTGATATGTAAGAAAAGGGACACCTATTAGGTACAAAGAATATAGGCAAAGAACACATCCCTGCCATGCCCCACAGACCATAAAGAAATGTGACAGAAAAGACTATTGGACAAACCCAAAAGTAATTTCTTTTCATCACAACTTTGCTTTAGCAGTTTTGCAAAATAATAATTGCATTAATTTAGAGGTTGGATGAAAGGTGTAAGGCAGTAAAACACTTTTTTAGTTAAATAGTACATTTATAGCTGATTACATCACACCAAAAAAGAGGGACAAGTTAGAAGAAAAGAGGGAAAACAGGATTTGGTTCGAAAAGACGTACAATCTATTTTCTTTCTAGTATATTTTCTTTCTCAAACTATGACTGGACCTGTATCTACTATGGTGCTGTTGGTACAGAGGAAATGGATAAAACATCTCTTTACCATATTTTGGTTTTGCTTTAATGCCAAGTGGTTTATTGAAAATTTATCATAGGATCACATCATGAAAGCAACATTTCAGAGCCTCCAAGGACCCCCTTTTTGAGCCATGTGTAGTTATTTCATATTCCTGATCAAGGGGTCCTGTTAGGCTCTGAAAGTTTGCTTTTATGATATAATCATATTAACATCCTGCAGTCACCCTCACAGCAGACTGGGAGGGGAAGGAGCAGTGCTAGGAAAGAATTAGTGGACATACGTCAACTTATTCTGCTTATGTGCTGACTTTAGGTGAGAGCAGAGAGATGACCTCAGCACTAGGCTGCTGTTCGTTTTTATGGTTAAGTCTGCAAGCTGTGAGGTGTGTTCATTACCAAGCTGTGCTGCTGCTTCTGCTGCAGTGGAGACTGAGGATCTGGCTAGGTTTTTTGTTAAAGGCATCTGGATCTAAAAATTGACTTAGCAATATTACAAATTGCAGATATAACTGGTATATTAATATTTCCTCAAGCTGCATGTCTGGAATTTATTTTTAAAGTAAACACACTTATTAATCATGGAAAACTTTGTATAATGTGTAATAGATTTACAAAGGGGCAGCTACATTTGCTCACTGCATAATCAAGCACAGCTTTATGCTTAGTAGTACTGCATAATGAATGTGCTTAACTATTCCTCTCTCATAATGCAAATCTATAGGTCATTTTTGACCTGTCAACAATAGACTTTGTTTAAGGCAATCTGTGCTTCTCTCAACAGCCACCATTGCATATAAATTACAGAATTCAAAATATGGAACAGCAAGCACATAAAATGTGTTAAAACACTTTTAATCAGTTGAAATAGACTATAGCTTCCCTTTAAAAACTGTACAGCCCAGCAATAAGAGAAAAAGAGAGATAAATCACATTATGTTTGATTATTCAGCTAATAAGTTCAGATTGGCTATTACGATAATCTTGAAGTACACAAATAATGAGATATTATCAACACGCGTGACCGAACAACAACGGTTTGTTAAGACAGTGTAAAAAATTACCAGATCTGGTAAGGACATTGACTTTTTCTGTGCACGTTACTTGGTTAAGTCACTGCAATCTTTCTGCTGTACAGGTGTAAATGTATGTAAATTGTTCACAAGAAAAAACAAAACACATCAGGAGTGACAGATCTGTGTATGTTCACAGTAACTGAAGGATATCTAAATATCAGAACATTGGTTGTCCTGGATTAAATATTGCACTGTATGCAGTTTATTTATAAATATTGTATTAATAGTGTTTCTGCTGCTGTTTCAGCCACCACATGTTAAATATGGATAATTTTGATTTTGTACTACCTCACAAAAAAAGTGACCAGAAGGGACATATGTGCCAATATGTTAAAGCAAAACCTAGGGCAAAAGAAACCTTCATAGCCTAAAGGCAGCCTGCAAGAACAGCAATGATTTGCATGTGATTTGTAATTGTGTGTCCATGCTGTGGCGTTATCAGTCTATTATCCGCCTAAATAATGGTCACTTGTGCTTCTATTTTCTGTGCATGTGACCAGTGCCCATCTCTAGCAATAGAAGTGCTGAAAGATACTGGCTAAATGATAGCCATCCAAATCCTAGGGTTATAGCTTACCCTGTATGTAGATGTTGCCTGCCTGAGCAAGGGATGACATTAAAACCAGGATCCAATTCCCTGGTGTCTGCCAAGTCACCTCCCTAATGATTGACAGACAGAGCTTGGTTACCTAGAAGAGTAGAAAGAATGGTGTACCATAGAAAGTAAGACTTTATAATGTGCCCACTCCAAGTAGGGAAATATTTTTTAGGAAGGCAGCCTTCCTTCCCAAAATATGACAATGGGTGTTAGCATTGGTAGTGTTTTGTGTACTATTTTATTTACCAGTAACAAGATGCACTCATGTAGCTTTACACACATGCTCTTGATGAAAGCTAAAGATACATGATAACTGCTGTACCCATTAGGAATATTTACCGTACATCCCAAAAATATGTAAAATGTTTGCTTGACCACAATTCTTAGTCCCTGGGTTTTTGCATAGTAACAATATGACCTATGCTTGGGTCACCTAGCAGCTGAGAGCTGCTGATGTTGGAAGTCATACCGCTAGGAGAAGGCAGCTGTCAGATAAGCACTGAACACCAATAAAAAGCGGCACTGGACCCAGAAAAGCTGAAGTAAGTGGTAGACTAGATGAGGAAGACATCCACTGCAAATATAGAGGGAACTTTTCAGGCAAAGAAAGTATGAATATAGTAGGTTTGAGAAACCAATTCGGGCCTCCCTTTGTCAGTTACTGTGCTCCATGTATATGCATATGCATGCTTGCCATGTGCCTACATTGAGAATTAAAGGACATGTACAGCACGTTATGCAAGCAGGTGCAATTGACCATTTGACTTTTGTTGTTTCTCAACTCTCTACATATACATACTCATTTGCTCCACGGACAACCACCAGCAGTCCTTCTTGTGACATTAGAAAAACAAACAAACTAAAAGCTCAGATACTCAACAGTGGAAAGGAGGACTCTACATAAACCTTTCTCAACTAGGGCTCCTCCAGAGGATCCTAGGGGTTCCTTGAGCAATGAGCAATTTCTGTCCCTCAGATATGTAACCACTGACATCAATAATCTTTTTAGCTATTCGTAGGAGTTGTATTCTTCCTACTGAACACAACTGTAAGGAGCGTTCTCCCCATTGGCCATCACACTAATATACAGTGAGCTGCAGATATAGTAATTATCAGCAGATATCCCTTAAGACCAGAAAGTTATTTCAAGGGTCCTTCATGGTAAAAAGGTTAAGAAAGGCTGCTCTACATCTTGACCCCTTGGCTCCTAAGTAGATCCTATTGTACACTATTAATGAGTAGTTTGTTTGCACAGGCAGTATGCCCATGTCTGCTAAGCAGGGCATCTACAGTAAATGCAGAAGCCCACTGATCATGCACATTTTGAATTCTATGCTATCTGAAAGATTAAAGATCCATAATAGTATTTCTGCTTTTGTCTTTGTTGCCATAGGTTTGTATTCGACAAGTATCAGATAAACCCACATGAATTTTGATACTGTTACAAGTGCATCAGTCATCTTTGACATTCTGGCCTAAAGAGACTTTAGACATATAATCTACTAACAATATATCTACCTGTATTTGTTCTAGTGGCGCCTGTTTAGTGTAAGAATTTATACAAATTGTTCATATGTCACAAATGAAGACGTATGTCCAGGAATGTTTACTTACTTCAAAGTGACATATTATTCAGGCAGAACTATAGAAACATAGTATTGTGTTCAAAGTTTGGACTTTGAAAAATGTACTAAACAAGACAGACCAATTGTTTTGCATCTGACAATGAAACATCTATTTTATTCAAACAGTAGCAAGTCAGACTAGAGTTTGAAAACCCCTGATGGCTGTTCATAAGCATGGACCACCCTATAAACAGCAAGAACATATGTACTAGTGTATGTGCGTATTGGTGTTTTGCTTGTGACGTCTGGTTGTAAATAATTTTTGACGGATACAGAATACAATGTATGGATACTATGGATCTTATAAAACAATACACACTGAACCTTTTTCCAAAAGTCTGCATATACCAGCACTAAATATTTTAAAAGACCTCCTGCGCTTACATGGAATCCTAACCTTAAAGAAAGCTGCTGGCACTAAACTTATACCCAAAATAAGTGAATGATCAATCAATAAACAGTGCAGCGCTAATCAATAATATACATATAAATATCCAATAAATAGGTGATACAATAAATAAACTCGATATACACCCCTGGGAGTATATATCCAAAATAATCAATAATAATATATTAATATCATGCGTATAATCCCTTATAGGGAATATCTGGTGCAAAATGTAATAAATATAATCATAAAACAATATAGTGGC